CCCGGCTGGTGACCTCCACCCTCTTCCTGTTCCCCACAGACCCTGGTCCCACATAGGCCTGGACTTCGTCACGGGGTTGCCTCCCGTCAACCAGCTCGACACCGTCCTGACCATCGTGGACAGGTTTTCCAAGGCGGTCCACCTGGTGGCTCTTTCCGGCCTGCCCACCGCTAAGCAGACGGCCGAAGTCCTTCTGGAGCAGGTGGTCCGTCTCCATGGGTTCCCTCAGGACATTGTCTCGGATAGAGGGCCCCAATTCATGTCTAGGTTCTGGAAAGCCTTCTGTCGGCTGGTTGGTGCCAGTAGCAGCCTCTCGTCTGGCTACCATCCCCAGACCAATGGACAGACTGAACGCGCCAACCAGCAGCTCGGGCGGTACCTGCGCTGCTTTGCCTCTTCCCAACCAACCACATGGCCAAAGCATCTCTTGTGGGCGGAGATGTCCCATAACCTCCACGTCTCCTCGGCTACTGGTCTTTCCCCGTTCGAGCTGTGTAATGGTTACCAGCCCCCTCTGTTCCCTCACCAGGAACCGGAGACGGAGGTTCCTGCGGCCCAGCTCCTAGTTCGACGTTGCCGTCTCGCTTGGATCCGTGCTCGGGCTGCCATCACACGAGCTAACACGGAGTACTCACGCCAGCATAAGCGCCGCCACCGGCCTGGTCCGACCTTTCAGCCGGGCGATAATGTGTGGGTGTCTACTCGTAACATGCGTTTGCCCGCCGGCTCCAAGAAACTCAGCCCACGGTTTCTGGGTCCTTACCCCGTGGAAAGGGTCATTAACCCCGTGGCTTACCGCATCCGCCTGCCCCGGTCTCTCAAGGTTCACCCAGTCTTCCACGTTTCCCAGCTGAGACCGGTCAGGACCTCTCCTCTCGCTCCCCCCCCTGTGCCCGCTTCACCGCCTCGTGGGGTGTGCGGTGATGGTGTTTATGCTGTGCGCTGCCTGCTGGATGCCCGTCGCCGTGGCAGGGGATGGCAATACCTGGTGGACTGGGCGGATTACGGACCGGAGGAGCGTTCATGGGAACCGTCGAGGGTCATCTTGGACCCCTCTCTCATAACGGACTTCTGGGCTCGCCGCTCTGGGACTTCTGGGGCCGTCCCTCGGGTGGGGGGTCCTGTCACACAACCTCCCGCTCAGCCGTCAACCTCCTCTAGGGAGGCACCGCAGAGCCGCTCAGACTCCATTACCCAACATCCCTAGCGCCAGGTTTTCCGTTTCACGTCACCCGCCAAACCTATATAAGGAAGTGCCGCACAACGCCGGCTCACTCAGTCATCGTTCTCACCGAACTTAACCTAGAGTCCTAACCAGATCAGCTCAGATCACGAAGCCTGTTCAGATCAGACCAGCCCGATCTCCGAATCCTGCCTGTTCGTACAGATCAGCTTCAGACCAGGAGTCGCCGTGTTCAGCTGTGTCACAATACAGCTGCGTACCCGGCTCCCAGATTAAACAGCGTGTCCATTCAACCCGGCGTCAGTCACTCCGCGCTTGGGTTAAAAGCCACGCCACATCCAAACTCTCGCCCAGCTCGAGTCACCCCGTTACAAATTGCAATTCCTTCATTCTTATACTTATTTAACATTTCTTTTTTGAGTTTTATTTTAAACTGGTTTACATCCCTGCTGTCCTTTATTTCTTCTGTTAACTCATTCCAGAATTTAACGCCCGCTATTGAAATAGACATCCTTTTCAATGTTGTTCTCACTCTTTGTACTTTTAAATTCCACTTCCCTCTAAAATTACATCTCCCTTCTCTTTCTAAGAACCATTTACTTATTTCAATTGGGAGCATCCCTTTCCTTGCCTTATATATGCCATGGTCTGCATCAGCCCCTTCCTTTATGTGCCTCCTGGTGTCCTCCATCCTTCTCTAGATTCCCTCTTGTGTCCCTTTGTTCCCCAGCTCCCCTTGTGCTCTCTTAGCGCCCTCATGTGTCCTTGTCTGCATCCCTGTTATGTGTCTTATGTTGTAGCCCTTTGGCGCCCTCTTGTGTCCTTTTTCTGTGTCAGTTTCTGTGTGTCAGTTTGTGTGTCAGTCTATTGTCTGATGTTATCTTTTACTGTTTCCTCCCAGGTCAGCTCCAGCCTCGTTGTCCCCAGCTCAGTGTGTGTGTATGTACTATGTCCTCCTCCAGCTAGTTTGTGTGAGTCCTTCCCTCTGTCTTTAGGAAATTGTTGTTTAGTTTTGTGTTAAGGTATTTGCCATCCTCTGTTTCTGTTTTCCCCATTGAGTTGATTAGTGTCACCTGCCTTCCCTCCAGCAGCTCACCCCACACACCTGCTTCCTGTTTCCCTGATTGCTCCTCCCAGTGTATTTAAGCCCTGTCTGTCTCTGTGTTCTCGTCGGTCCATTAATGTTTGCTTGTTGTTCTTGTCAGCCTCGTCTTGTTCCTGTTCCTAGCTTCTAGTGATTCCAGTGTTTTCCAGTGTTTCTAGTTCTCTGAAGTTTTTGATTACTCAGTTTAGATTTTTGGATTTTTTGGTTTGGGCTCCCTGCTTCTTGGACTACTCCTAATAAAGGATTTTATTTTCATCATCCACCTCCTGCCTCGTTCATCTGGTTTTCTGCATTTTTGGGTCCTAAAACATCCTACCACATCAAATCCTGACAATATATTATTTGCACTGTTTTAAACTTGAACAGGTCCTGGAATTTTAAAGCTTGCATCTTAATAAAGAGTGTGTTTGTGTGAGCCCTATACCCCTCCTGATTTATTAGTCTAATAGCCCTTTTCTGCATTATGATTATAGTCTGAATATTACTTTTATAAGTTTCCCCAAACCTCTACACAATAACTCATGTATGATAATAGTAAAACACAATATAACATATATGTTTTCCTATCCAGAAAATGTTTTACTTCCCCAAGACAGCAATGCCCCGTGCTAACTTTCCCCTCACGTAAGTGATGTGTGATTTCCAACAGACCTTATGATCAATGATCACACCAAGAAATTTTATGGTATTAACCCTTTCTAGATACACATTATCAACACAAATTTCAATGTTAATATTTTTCTTATGGTTTCCGAATAACATAAATTTTGTTTTATTTAAATTTGAGGACAATTTGTTTCTATCAAACCACGCCTTTAATATCTTTAACTCCTGTGTGATCACCTCCACAACCTGTTGAAATTCCCCACTTGAACAAAGTATATTTTTATCATCGGCAAAAATTACAAACTTTAGGATCTTCGATACTTTACAAATATCATTTATATACATTATAAACAATTTTGGTCCCAATACCGATCCTTGAGGCACTCCACATTCAATGTCCATCAATTTAGATTTAAACTTATTTATTTGTACATATTGCTGTCGATTCATCACATAGCTTTTTATCCAATCCAATACCACACCCCTAAACCCATATTTCTCCGGTTTGAAATGAGAATTCAATGAAACTGAAGAAGAAAAAAAAACCTTACCATCAATATTAAAGTGACAGTGTGTGTATTTTTCATGGTGATAGGGGGCAGTAGATACCTAAATCGTTGCAAGCAAGCAGTATTTTTGTGTTCGAGTTAGACCGTACCAACGGATGCCCATTAGGGTCAAAAAGCTTTGGGGAGTGCTGCAAACTTTAGCAAAAATAACGAGCACATCAGACTCCCTTTCATCACTGGTAACAAGTGAATAGGCAAATGTGTAAAACACCAACATTTAAAAATGACGAAAGTTTTGTAACCATTTGATACAAATTAGTAAATGTGTTTTGTCTTCATTGGCTCCCGTAGAAGGAAACGTAGCATTTAATATGGCGTCGCTCAGAGACTTTAGACCCACTCCCATATATTTTAGACCTGCTTTTTATGGTTATGTTGCGAAGCCACCAATATTTTTCAACAACTGGGCATCATTTCATTCATTTTCAACAACATGTTGATGGAATATTCCAAAAATTAATGGTAAAAACAATACATTGTCTCTTTAAGAAGATGAAGGAAGATGAGAAGTACAAGATGAAAACACGTTTACAAAGTTACAATAGTTAGTGGAATCTCTTTCATACTATATACGTCACAATTATATTCTTACTTCCTATATTTGCTTATCTCTTATTTTTATCTTTCTTTTTGCACCAAGTGCCGCAGCAATTTCCTAATGTGGGGCCGCCCTCTGATGGCGAAAATTTGGAACTACACTCTGATTCTAAATCCATTTTTGATTCATTTTATAACACAGGGAATGTTTCTCTTTACCTTGCTAACGTTTTTGTTTGCCGACTGCAAAACATCCTCAGAGCTGACGGTCAGCCCTGAGGATGTTTTGCAGTTGGCAAACGAAACTGTCAGCAAGGTAAAGAGAAATATTTCCTGTGTTTTAAAAAGAACCAAAAATTGAATTAGAAACTAAACACAGTAAGAACACACCAAAGACACACTCCTATTCTTTTAAGGGAAGATGTGGATTTAGTGTCATCCAGTGGTGAAATTTTAAAACTACACACAGAGTCTGCTAAAATAGAACATTTTAGCCTCCTTACATCAGTGAACCTAAAAACCACAATATTTGCTTTTGTTCACTTAGACATTTAATATTAAGGAGGAGGAGGAGGAGGAGAAGAAGAAGTGCAAATAGCTACAAACAGTTTTTATTGACTTTACTTGATTATTTTTGATGATATTTCATAGTCCTTGATGATCATTCAAGTCCTGGCTCGTGAATGAGCAAAAATGATTTTTAACTTCTAGCCACCTCTCTGCAAGTATGTTGGTGTCATTACAATTTTACAATCACACAATTTTGAGGGAAATCGTCTATTTCTTGCAATAAATATTAAAAGATATAAAATACTTAAATAGTACAAAATTGCATCATTGTAAGTTAAAAATGACCAAATGACAATATTATCAAATAACAAGGTGCATTAAACTAGCAGAAACATGTTTATTATGTAAAAAAAATGTGGTTAGTTTATTTGTATTAAGATGCCAACAAAAACATAACCTGAATTTAGGTTTTAGCGTTTGCGTTTTGTTAGAATTGTCCCTCTGTGCGTGCCGTAGTGGTGATAAACATGACAAGCAGCTGTTTCTGCATGTTAGCGTTCATGTGCAGGGTTTTACTCAACAAACAAGTCTCGTAGATACAGTCTGTTACCGCTAAAATACAATGGAGTCTGTCATTAAAATAAATCCAGGTAGTTTAAACGTTCGTGGACTTAGTTTAGTCGTTAAAAGCGGCGTCAATGCGTTGCTAAACGCTTAAATGTTTCGTCTAAACTTTCTGTCTTCTAGGAGCGTCGAAAGGGGAGATTCGTCAGAAGGTCTGGGACTACATCGAAGAAAAGAATTTAGCCAACTTCCCAAGGCCCGTTCACAACAGAATCCCAAACTTTAAGGCAGGTTATATTGGTAATGTTTAACTTCTACATTCAGTTTTGTGCTTCTCGAGCCGTTGGCGTTGAAATAGCCCCCAACAGCCTTTTATGGTCACTAGGTGATTCTTTTTAAGAGTCACTAAAAATAAAACTGAATTAATGTTCATCAAATCATGTCAAGAGACCCATGCGTCAAAGACGAACTCATAAGTGAGTTTTGGTCATTGTATTAACAATCTGTGCCCTCCTGGAGGATTTAAAACGACTATTTTGTTCATAGCTTTTATATTTAAATTTTGCAACAAAGAGTTAAATGCAATAAATTATTCCAGACTTCAATAAATTATTCCAGACTTCAAAATGAAATTATAGATTTTTATTGATACATATAATTCCAGAATCCTATCCTGCTGTTGCTTTGATGATAAAATCATCACGGACATGACTTCTGCAGAGAATCGGATTTGCGCTGCAAACTTTAGATCAAATGTCTTCATTATTATTAATTAACATATACGTTTATACATACAATGTGTTTCTTTTCATGACCAGAGTGCAAATCAAGCGTGCAACAGACTTTCAGAGCTGCAGGAGTTCAAGACCAGCCAGACAGTGAAAGTAAACCCAGATAGACCTCAGCAGCAGACGCGCTTTATGACTCTGGAAGTAAGTTAAAAAATAAAAAAACATGTATGAAAATCTCCTGTTTCTTCTTTAGGGTGCTTTTGGAGCCTGCACCAAGGTGACAGAGTTGCAGGTGTTCACCGAGACGTCCGAGGTGAAGGTGGATCCTGATAAACCTCTGGAGGGAGCTCGACTGGCAGTGCTTCAGGTAGCACTGTAGTGTGGTTAAAAAGCATCAGAAGCAGACTTCTTCAGGTTTTCTAACCCAAGAATCTTCCTGATTTTATGCTAATTAAATTATCAATTCTGTTTAAGCTCCATTTAGAAATGTACAAGAAATTATCAACCAGCATATCAAACTAGATCTAGTGAGTTTCTTCCTAAAGGTTACTGAGATGCCATCACACCGTGGTGGAGAGGTTTGAGTGTCCCAATGATCCTAGGAGCTATGTTGTCTGAGGCTTTATGCCTCTGGTAGGGTCACCCATGGCAAACAGGTCCTAGGTTAGGGATCAGACAAAGAGCAGCCCAAAGACCTCTTATGAAGAATAATGTAAATGGACACAGTATTTCCTCGCCCAGACGCGGGTCAACGGGGCCCCCCTCTGGAGCCAGACCTGGAGGTGGGGCACGTCAGCAAGCGCCTAGTGGCCGGGCTTTCACCCATGGAGCCCAGCCGGGCACAGCCCGAAGAGGAAATGCAGGTCCCCCTTCCCATGGGCTCACCACTTGCGAGAGGGGTCAAAGAGGTCGGGTGCAATGTGTGATGGGTGGCAGCTGAAGGAGGGGAACTTGGCGGTCTGATACTCAGCTACAGAAGCTGGCTCTTGGTACGTGGAATGTCACCTCCCTGGTGAGGAAGAAGCCTGAGTTGGTGTGTGAGGTTGAGAGGTTTCGGCAGGAGCAGGCGGAGGGAGACTAGGGGTCTTGGTACACCTCTGTTGTCGCTTGGCTTCCCAGGGCTGGAGGCTAGGAGGGCGAGTTGGCCATCTGGTTGGGGTCTGGGGTGGTGGGTTGCTTTGCCCAGCGTTGGGCGGGGGGAGCCTGCTCATCAGCACCCCAGCAGAAAGGAGCAAACTCTGGGAACCGGTGATGGTTGTGCCCTTTGTGCAGCAGTACCGGGACCAGAGTGAATAGGGTGTGTATGGGGAGCATGAGTGGGTGTCTAGCGTTCATTTTTGTAAGTCTTAGGTTATGTGTGCATGTGTGAGCATGAGGGAGGGAGTGTGTGACTGTGTTTGTGTATGACTGTTTATGTCAGGTGGAGTCTTGGGTCTCCTCCCCTCTCCTCATTGAGTAGCTAAAATATGACGCCTTCATGTGAATAAGATGGAATAATTAACTAAATGTATAAAATAGTATGTTAATAAATAACAGAAAAGTAAATAATAATAATGATTAAGATCCAACAGTGTTTGTGGTTGTATTATTTGATGCATAAATTATGATATTGTGCTGTGGATTTAATATATATTTGTGTGTGTGCATGTGTGTGTGTGTGTGTGTGTGTGCATGTGTGTGTGTGTGTGTGTGTGTGTGTGTGTGTGTGTGTGTGTGTGTGTGTGTGTGTGTGTGTGTGTGTGTACGTGTGTACGTGTGTACGTGTGTACGTGTATACGTGTGTGCTGAGTCTGACGCAGTGTTGGAAAGTTGTGTGGTTGTGCCATACAGGTGTAAAGAGGAAAGGAAAACACAGATACAGGTTAAAAAAGAAGAAATAACTAAAAAGAAGAGGTGATGGGGTGTAAGGTGGTGATGAACAGGTGATCTCATCCTAGAGTATGGATTTAGCAGCTGTCTCAGCACCTTGGGCTTCCTGACAGGGTTGCGGAAGGCACTTTATAAATAAAGCTTTGATTGATTGTTTAATCCTGACGTGATCAAACTCAGTGAATCCTGATATAGAATAATAAATGTCTGACCTGATGTTGGGCTAATACAGCCAGTCAGTCACTCCTCGCTCCTTGTAAAGTTTATTGTCCACGTAAAGCTTATCCACCGAGATGACAGCCCTCTTCCCATCCTGGATAAACTTTTTGCGCAGCAGAAAGAGGACTCTGCGCCGATCCAGGATTTCCTTAGGGAACTGGTCATTTACGCTGAAGTCTTTTCCTTTGAGCTCTCTTCTATGACTTTTAACAAGATCCTTCTGCTTAACATGTTCAAATTTAGCCACGATGGGACGATGGGGGTTTAAGATTTTTGGCGTCTGCCTGATTGATCCCGGTGGCTGCCTGGTGGGATCTGAGTCCCTGGGCTCTGTTGGGTCCCCGGCAGGGCTGGTCGCTCCTGGGTCACTGGGTTCTGGGCCCGGCCAGCTTGGGGGTGGGAGGCTGCGGGCAGACCTGTGGGCTTGCCGCTGATATCTCCTTGGACTTTGCCGGCTGCTTGTTATGACCCCCCCAGGGCAATCCTCTGCGCCTCTCGAGGGGGGCTGGGGCTTTTCTGGTTACAGTTTCCTTGGGGTTCCTGTGCTGTGGGGCAACTCCTGGATCTCTGGGACTTGGAGCTCCCTCCATCTCCTACACATCTTTGGGGGAGCAGATCTGTGGCCCCTCACACTATTGGACGCTCCTATAGAGAAACCTTACATATACAAGCGCGTGCACACACACAGGTGCTCACATGGTGCTCTCAAAAGTATGGACTTGGGCATTTTCAACACATCTTAAGGCTGTGGTTGGCACTTAATGCACTGTGATTTATTATCATGTGATTGTTAAGATGGACAGTGATTTTAAACTGGAACACCAAATTAGTTCTGTGGTGAAGTCTGGGTTTTTCCACTTGAGGCAGCTGGTGAAGGTGAGGCATTTCCTGTTGAGGCAACACTTTGAATCTGTGATCAATGCATTTATTACTTCTCTGCTGGATTACTGTAATTCGCTGTACTCTGGAGTGACCCAGTCTCCCCTCAAGCATCTCCAAATGGTGCAGAACGCTGCTGCCAGAGTGCTAACCCGATAATGAAAGCGGGATCACATAACACCTATCTTGGCCTCCCTTCACTGACTGCCAGTGACTTTCAGAGTGAAATTTAAGATTTAAATTTTTGTTTTTAAATCACTGAATGGTCTTGCCCCACCATATCTCTCTTGAGCTTCTTTCCTTTTATAAACTGGCCCGGAACCTCAGGTCAGTGGACCAACTGCTGTTAGAGGTCCCGAGGTCAAGGAAGAAGCTCAGGAGAGAACGAGCGTTCTCAATATGTGGACCTGCACTGTGGAAAGCCCTACCACTGAGTGTACGTCAGGCAACTTTGCTTTCATCATTTAAATCCGTCCTGAAATCACACTTTTATCGGCAAGCTTTTGACATGGTCTGAGACTCTGTCTTGTGTGGGTTATTTTATTTATTTTAATTTTTACTTCTGTTTTTATTTTTTCTGTCTTAAGGATTTTAAATGGTTTTATGTAAATATAGTCTGTGATGTCAGCTCTTTGTTCTGACTCCTCGTCATATAAAATGTGCTTTATATATAAATAAAATTGGTCTGAGTAAAACAATGTTGATTTTATATTTCCTCATCAGGTTGACGCAGCGATAGCTTGCTCTTGTTGTATTGTTGTGTGTCCCTTTTTTATTTTTTATTTTTTGTTTTGCTTGTTTTTCTCTTTCTGCAGGTCTAGAATCAGACTCTTGTTCATCATTGTTTATTTTTGTGAAACACCCACCCTTCCCTTCCTTTTGTCCCTTCTTTTCTCTTTCGGCTATATATAGTCGGACTCACCTGATGCATGGCTCTGGTTCCGGGGTGGGGGGTGGAGGGTGGTGGTGGGGGGGTGGATGGATGCTGACTGTTGTCTGTGCTTATGCACCAAACTGCAGCTCAGACTACCCACCCTTTTTGGAGACCTTGGAGGGGGTGCTGGAAAGTGCTCCTTCCGGTCACTCCCTCGTTCTGCTGGGGGTCTTTTAACGCTCACGTGGGCAAGGACAGTGAGACCCGGAGAGATGTGGTAGGGAGGAACAGCCCCCCGATCTGAATCCGAGCAGTGTTTTGTTATTGGACTAATGTGCTAGTCATGGATTGTCCATAATGAACACCATGTTCAGACATAAAGGTGTCTATATGTGCTCTTGGCACCAGGATACCTTAGGCTGCAGCACGATGATCAATTTTATTGTCGTTTCATCTGATCTGCGGCCACATGTCTTGGACACTCGGGTGAAGAGACGGCGTAACTGTCAGCTGACCACTACCTGGTGGTGAGTTGGCTTCTATGGTGGGGGAGGATGCCAGTTAGACCTGGCAGGCCCAAACGTATTGTGAGGGTCTGCTGGGAACGTCTGGCGGAGTCTCCTGTCAGAAGTTTCAATTCTCACCTCCGACAGACAATGTTCCGAGGGAGGCGGGGGACATTGAGTCCAAGTGGACAATGTTCCATTGTCGAGGTGGTCGACCGTAGCTGCGGCCGCAGGGTTGTCTGTGTCTGTCGTGGTGGCAATCCCCAAACCTGCTGGTGGACACTGACAGTTAGGGATGCCGTCAAGCTGAAGAAAGAGTTCTATAGGGTCTTTTTGGCCTGTGGGACTCCAGAGGCAGTTGATAGGTACAGGTAGGCCAAGCGGAATGCAGCCCAGGTGGTCACAGAGGCAAAAACCCAGGCATGGGAGGAGTTTGGTGAGACCATGGAATAAGACTTCCTTAAAGCTTCAAGGTGCTTCTTAACTAGCACCTTGTCTGCACCCGTCCCCCCTCTCTACTGTCCACTCCTTGTTCCCTCCTCTCCATGACTGATGTCAATTTGTTGTTGTTGTTGTTAGCCTCAAGGGCAAAATGCCGATTATCACTTGTAAGTCGCTTTGGACAAAAGCGTCTGCTAAATACATAAACATAAGGAGATTCTGGTCCACCATCTGGTGCCTCAGAAGGTGAAAGTAGTGCGCTACCAACACGGTTTATGGTGGGGGCGGTGTGATGCTGACCTCGACTAGGGACGTTGTGGATCGGTGGATAGAATACTTCGAAGATCTCCTCAATTCCACCGGCTCATTTTCCAGTGAGGAAGCAGAGTCTGGGAACTTTCAGTTGAAATCTCCAATCACTGGAGGTCAATGAGGTTGTCAAAAAGCTCCTCTGTGGCAAGGCCCCGGGGGGGTGGATGAGATCCACCCGGAGTTCTTTAAGGCTCTGGATGTCGTAGGGCTGTGTTTACTGATGCGGCACTGCAATATCGCGTGGACATCGGGGGCAGTTTCACGGTTTGGCGGACCAGGGTGGTGGTTTCTCTATTTAAAAAGGGGGACTGCAGAGTGTGATCCAACTACACGGGGATCACACTTCTGAGGCTCCCTGGTAAAGTCTATTCCGGGGTTCTGGAGAGGAGGATCCAGCGGATTGTTGAACCTTGGATTCAGTAAGAGCAATGGTGTTTTCGTCCTGGCTGTGGAGCACTGGAGGACCAGCTCTATACCACTAGGGGAGTCCTGGAGGCTGCACAGGAGTTTGCCCAACCAGTCTACATGTGTTTTGTGGATTTGGAGAAGGCATTCGACTGCGACCCTCGGGGGGGGGGCCCTCTGGGGGGTACTTCGGGAGTATGGGGTCCCAGACCCTTTGAAAAGGGCTATTAGGTCCCTGTATGACCGGTGTCAGAGCTTGGTCTGCATTGCTGGCAGTAAGTTGTACTCGTTGCCAGTGAGATTTGGACTCCACCAAGGTTGCCCTTTGTCACAGATTTTGTTTATAACTTTAATGGACAGGATTTCTAGGTGCAGCAAAGGTGCTGAGGGGATCTGTTTTGGTGGCCTAAGGATTGAGTCTCTGCTTTTGCAGATGATGTGGTCCTGTTGGCTTCATCAGAATGTGATCTTTGGTTCTCAGTGGAGCGGTTTGCAGCTGAGTGTGAATCAGCTGGGATGAGAATCAGCTCCTCTAAATCCGAGACCATGGCCTTGAGTCAGAAAATGGTAGAATGTTTTTTCCAGGTCAGGGACGAGGTCCTGCCCCAAGTGGAAGAGTTTAAGTATCTCGAGGTCTTGTTCACGAGTGAGGGAACCTGGAGCGTGACATCAACAGGCAGATTGGTGCTGCGTCTGCAGTACTGCAGGCGTTGTAACGATCTGTCGTGGTAAAGAGAGAGCTAGGCCAGAAGGCAAAGTTCTCGATTTACCGGTCATCTTCGTTGCTTCTCTCACCTATGGTCATGAGCTTTGGGTAATGATCGAAAGAATGAGATTGCTGGTACAAGCGGTCGAAATGAGTTTTCTCCACAGGGTGGTTGGGCTCTCCCTTAGAGATAGGGCAAGGGGCTCGGTGTAGACCCGCTGCTTCTTCACATCGTGAGGAGCCAGTTGAGGTGACTAGGGCATCTGGTAAGGATTCCTCCTGGACGCCTCCCTGGTGAGGTTTTCTGGGCACGTCCAACCGGGAGAAGGCCTAAAGGACACGTTGGAGAAACTATGTCTCACAGCTGGTCAGGGAACACCTTAGGGTTCCCCCGGAGGAGTCTGGGCCTCCCTGCTTAGGCTACTGCCCCATGACCCGACCTCGGATAAGCGGCCAAAAATTGATGGATGGTTACTGAGATTCTTGGCACAACTCTATTTTACATCTGATGAGTCTACATTTGATTCATAGTTGCATCTTTAACATCATTCTAATAATTTGCACAGGCGCAGAAAACACTTTTGGTTCCGACTCCTCGCCTTCGCTCTGGTCTTTTCAATAAGATCACTCCTCCCCAGGGAGCCAGCAAGGAACAGCTGCGCACTTGTGCTTCCTCTCAGGTTTTTAATGTTTTCATCTGTATTTTATTCATCTGAATATTACTCATGATCCCTCTATCTCACAAATCTGCTCTCTTAATCCTCTCCAGGGTGTGCGAGACTTCAGCGTCCCTGTTGACCTGGATGCAAAGGTGAAGGTGGACTTGGTGGTAGTTGGCTCAGTGGCGGTGTCTGAGAAAGGTTTGTTGGTGCCAGACACTCACTTCCTCATCAGACTAGATTTTCTAAAATAGAAATAGGATTAGTTTTAGCACACTTGCAGCAGCATTTCAGATTAGGTGGTGAATGTTAATATGATGCAGCAGATAAGCAGTTGCTTTGTCCAGACTCTAAATCTCCATGTTTAATAGTTGAAACATTTCCTTTAATGGTTCTTTTAAACATTAAAGACGGTACTGGAATTAATTTGCAGAACTTTAATTAGATATTTTGCTAACTTATCTGCATCTGTGTCAGCCTGCCGAGGCATCCTGCCACACACTGTAGGCAGATTGAAAAACTGATTTGAAAACAGGGAACAGAACCACACAACTCCGCCTGCTTTATAACCCCGTCCACACACAATTTCATCATTTACAGTTTGTGGTTATTCTCATTTTTTACTTGTTCAAAAGTGGAAAATGGAACACGAACATTAAAGGGGCATTATGGAAGTTTGACAGCCAAAACATGTATAGAAATAATAAATTTCTTCTTCATACATTCTCCTGCAATGTCCTGGTCCTGGAGAATGAGCCCTGGCATTTTTACTGTGATTGCCTGTTTTTCTGTAAAATCACAGAAAAAGAGAGCTGCTTGGGTCGAGCAGGCTGCTTCATGCACGTTCACGCTCAGGCATCGCCCGTAGCGTTTGCTATCAGTAGCTTTAGCAGCAGAGAGTGAGGTAGTGCCAACTCAGCGACTTTGTTGCTATTCCTAACGCCTCGTGATGAACCTAGCTACATTTCTGAGGACCCTTAGCTACTTTCTTCTAGATATTTCCTGCAAATTAGCAACAAACTTGCCATTTTCGCTCTGAACCGTTCGTTGAAGGTTGTTTCAGCTGTCATCAAGAATATATATGTTACGGATACAGAAGATGTCATTGGCGCTTTAGCTCACGTAGTAAGACGTTGGACTCTTGTGCAGAAGACCTGGGTTCGATTCTGGATGTGAACATAGTTTATTTTTTTTACATTAATGGTATTTTTTTTTACGGTAAGATGCCCATTTTTTTTTAGACTCGCTGAACGGCATTGAATTCACAGATAAAAAAGATGTGGGTTCAACTTTCATTTTGGAACAATTTTTCAAGCAAGGGAAGGGAATGATCTGAGCACGCAGGAGGACTGACCCATCATCAACCTTTGTTGGCTGTGCTGAAGAGAAAGGTACAGAACCAAATTATTTAATTAATTAGCTGCACATTGTCCTGTCCTCTGTCCTCTGCCCCCCCCCCCCCCCCCCACCCACACACACACACGGGACTGTCTCAGCTGTTATTTTCATTAAGGAGTGTGCACGTACAGCATGCGCGCCTCGTGCACGAGCCTACTATTGAAGCTGCCGTTACGCTTTTGGCCTGAGGGGGCAATCGCGAGCATAAAAATTCAAAACTCCATAAAGTCCCTTTAAGTGACATTTAATGTGTGGAATTTGTTGTTGCAACAATAGAACAAGGTTTCCAACCAGGATGCCAGGTTTGCTGCAGAGACGTGACTTTTTTTTTTTTGGGTCCATCTGTTGTAGGCTTCACCTAAAGTCACTCTGGTTTTAGATCTTGTATGGTTGTCCCACTTCTGAGAGTAACAGCATCATCTGGGCTCAAAAGCAGCTGCTTGACTTGACGAGTTCACAATTTTCTACAGTACCAGCCTCGCTGTGCCGAGCGGACTGTTTGGCTATCTGCAGTGGTGCCCTCTATTGGCTGGTAGATGTTAACATAATCTCAGTGTCGTTCCTGTCAAAATACATTTTTTTAAAACTGTAGCTTTTAAAGGAAACACTGTACCTTCATTCTGCTTACCTCTATATCCCCCATAGAGATATTATTTAAAAAGTATAGCTTTTAAAAAAATTATTCCATATTTAACCTTTAATGAAACGCTGTGATACGAGAGCCATTTACTGGACAGTCCCAAATGGGATTAAATGGATTACTCAATGGGCCTGTGTGTTTACAGCTTTGTCCTGTTTTCTGCAGGGTGTCGGATCGGGAAAGGAGAGGGCTTTGCTGATTTGGAGTGGGCCATGATGTCCTCCATGGGAGCTGTGAATAAATCCACTGTGGTTGTTACAATCATTCATGACTGCCAGGTGAGACTGCTTTATTTTAATAGAACAAACATGGGATAGAATTTAATCTCACTTTAAAAACAAACTACCTGTTTTACATTTCTAGTTTAGAGGGTTTGTAAAGGTTAATTTGTGTCACAATCAGGTGGTAGATGTTCCAGACGAGCTTATGGGAAGTCATGACCTGACTGTCGACTACATCCTCACACCCAGCAGAGTCATTAAAACTAACTGCCAGTTGCCTAAACCACAGGGGATCATCTGGACCAAGGTAAATCTTACTGTGTGCTTTATAGAGATGCTTTATAAGGGCTGCAATACTGGCTAAAGCCTGAACCAGTACTTTGTCTTTCTGAACCTTGACTCTAGCCCCATCCTGATGCAAACGTGACATTTTAAAATGTTAAACCAAAAATGTGAAGTTTAACGGACTGCTTGTATGGGAGATTTTTTATTCCGTCCAATATAATCAAATACACTGTTTCTGGGCCGATATCGAATTACGTCCGATATCAGAACGGGACATCCCTATGGATTAATAAAATGTTTACATTCACTCAGAGATCATTTTAGATACTCTTGAGACTTTTTGTTACATTTTAAAGGCTGTGAAGCTCCTCCATTGTTGTGTTTTGACTTATTTGTAGGGGTGGATTTTAATACGATGCTATGTATCATTGCTCATTCTGACAGTAGGGTAAAGGTAACTGGGATAGTTATTTCTGGGATTATCGTGCATGTTCTGGAAGTTTAACACCTGGAAAAACTCAAAGAAAAAATCTTTAGACGTCCAGACACCAAATTGTTTGGAAATAGTTAACAGTCAGGTCCATAAATATTGGGACATCGACACAATGCTAACATTTTTGGCTCTATACACCACCACAATGGATATCAAATGAAACGAACAAGATGTGCTTTAACTGCAGACTGTCAGCTTCTATTTGAGGTATTTACATTCAAATCAGGTGAACGGTGTAGGAATTACAACAGTTTGCATATGTGCCTCCCACTTGTTAAGGGACCAAAAGTAATGGGACAGAATAAGAACCATAAATCAAACTTATACATTTCAATACTTGGTTGCAAATCCTTTGCAGTCAATTACAGCCTGAAGTCTGGAACACACAGACATCACCAGACATTGGGTTTCATCCCTGGTGATGCTCTGCCAGGCCTCTACTGCAACAGTCTTCAGTTCCTGCTTGTTCCTGGGACATTTTCCCTTCGGTTTTGTCTTCAGCAAGTGAAATGCATGCTCAATCGGATTCAGGTCAAGTGATTGACTTGGCCATTGCAAAACAGTCCACCTCTTACCCTTCAAAAAATCTGGTTGCTTTTGTGGTATGCTTTGGGTCATTGTCCATCTGCACCGTCCAATGAGTTCTGAGGCATTTGGCTGAAAATGAGCAGATAATATTGCCCGAAACACTTCAGAATTCATCGTGCTGCTTTTGTCAGCAGTCACATCATCAATAAATACAAGAGAACCAGTTCCACTGGCAGCCATGCATGCCCACGCCATGACACTTCCAGCACCATGCTTCACTGATGAGGTGGTATGCTTAGGATCATGAGCAGTTCCTTTCCATCTGCATACTCTTCCCATCACTCTGGTACAAGTTGAGCTTGGTCTCATCCGTCCATAGGATGTTGTTCCAGAACTGTGAAGGCTTTTTTAGATGTTGTTTGGCAAACTCTAATCTGGCCTTCCTGTTTTTGGGGCTCACCAGTGGTTTACATCTTGTGGTGAACCCTCTGTATTCACACTGGTGGAGTATCCTCTTGATTGTTGACTGTGACACAGGTACACCTACCTCCTGGAGAGTGTTCTTGATCTGGCCAACTGTTGTGAAGGGTGTTTTCTTCACCAGGGAGAGGATTCTTCGGTCAGCCAGCACAGTTGTTTTCCGTGGTCATCCAGGTCTTTTGGTGTAGCTGAGCTCACCGGTGCGTTCCTTCTTTTTGAGAATGTTCCAAACTGTTGTTTTGGCCACGCTTAATGTTTTGCTATCTCTCTGATAGGTTTCTTTTGTTTTTTCAGCCTAATGATGGCTTGCTTCACTGATAGTGACAGCTCTTTGGATCTCATCTTAACAGTTGACAACAACAGATTCCAAATGCAAATAACACACTTGAAGTGAACTCTGTACCTTTTATCTGCTCATTGTAATTGGGATAATGAGGGAATAACACACACCTGGCCATGAAACAGCTGACAAGCCAATTGTCCCATTACTTTTGGTCCCTTAACAAGTGGGAGGCACATATGCAAACTGTTGTAATTCCTACACCGTTCACCTGATTTGAATGTAAATACCCTCAAATAAAAACTGACAGTCTGCATTTAAAGCACATCTTGTTCGTTTCATTTGATATCCATTGTGGTGGTGTATAGAGCCAAAAATGTTAGCATTGTGTCAATGTCCCAATTTTTATGGACCTGACTGTATATCTATTCCAAAATGAATAAGCAGTCCTTATTGGTTCTTTAAAGGGGCATTTTGGAAGTTTGGCAGCCAAAACATGTATAGAAATAATAAATTTCTTCTTCATACATTCTCCTGCAATGTCCTGGTCCTGTAGAATGAACCCTGGCATTTTTACTGTGATTGCCTGTTTTTCTGTAAAATCACAGAAAAAGAGAGATGTTCGGGTCGAGCAGGCTGCTTCGTGCGCGTTCACGCTCAGGCATAGCCCGTAGCATTTACTATCCGTAGCTTTAGCAGCAGAGAGAGAGGTAGTGCCAACTCCGCGACTTTGTCGCTGTTCCTAACGCCTAGTGATGAATCTAGCTACATTTCTGAGGACTCTTAGCTACTTTCTTCTAGATATTTCCTGCAAATTAGCAACAAATTAGCCATTTTCGCTCCGAACTGTTCTTTGAACGTTGTTTCAGCTGTCATCAAGGATATAAATGTTACAGGTACAACATACATCACTGGTCGTTTAGCTCACCTGGTAAAACGTCGGACTCTCGTGTAGAAGACCCGGGTTTGATTCTGGATGTGAATATAGTTTAGTTTGAGTTTATTTTTTACATTAATGATATTTTTTTACAGTAAGATGCCCAAATTTTTATTTGAGACTCGCCGAACGGCATTGAATTCATAGGTAAAAAAGATGTGGGTTCGACTTTCATTTTGGAACAATTTTTCAAGCAAGGGAAGGGAATGATCTGAGCACGCAGGAGGACTGACCCATCATAAACCTTTGTCGGCTGTGCTGAAGAGAAAGGTACAGAACCAAATTATTTAATTAATTAGCTGCGTGTTCTCCTGTCCTCTGTCCTCCGGGCCACACACACACACACACACACACACACACACACACACACACACACGGGACTGCCTCAGCTGTTTTTTTCGTTAAGGAGTGTGCACGTACAGCATGCGCGCCTCGTGCACGAGCCTACTATTGAGGCTGCCATTACGCTTTTGGCCTGAGGGGGCAATCGCGAGCATAAAGATTCAAAACTCCGTAAAGTCCCTTTAAGATTATTGTTGATGTCGTATTCCAGCTCTTCCCCCCTCTAACATTTCTTATGACATCTGTGGGTAAAACCAATAGATTTTTATCCTTCCCATGCATGATTGTGCTCCCTGGCAGCTCAGTTTCTCCTCGTTTGGGATTTGGGGTCTTATCCACCATGTTTATTGGCTTTTAAAAGCTCAGTCAGCTGCTCCTGTGTGTGTTGCGAAGGTTACTCCTCATAACAGAGCTGCCAGAAGGATCACTCGCCACACAGCAATCAAACCCAAGAGGGGATAAAGTGTTTTGTTTAAAGACTAAAATGTAAAATTTCTCAAGGGAAAACACAGAATATAGTTAATTTATTGTAATATATAAAATCATTTGCTGGCTTTTGTTTTTGGTGACTTTGTGTTAAATGATGTATTTTTTCATGTAAGATTTTAAGATTTTGTTTTTGTATCAAAAAGTTGAGCTTTTCTGTGCTTTAATAATAAACATCTAGCTCTTTTTTTGAGGATACACTGCCCCCTAGTGGACATTTTCCCCACAAACTGCCAACATTTCGCCTGATGCCTTGTTTTAGTGCAATTTATTTATGCATACATTAATTACTTTTTGCACAATTCTACTTGTGTGACTTCTGATCTTGGATGAACTTCAAACAGCTTCTGATTTAGTGGCACCAGCAGAGACATCGTGTGACTTATTTAGACATGATGGGCATCATTCTTATCATGTGGCCGTATTGTGTGTAACCTCTGGGTTCCTTAAGAAATGCGTGTAAGTAAACAACACCCCATGAACTCACAGACAGGAAGGCCAAGTCTGATCATCAAAGGCTGCTCTGCCCAGCCACCTTGGCTCTGGGGGGGCAGGGGTCAAACAGGGCCAACGTAAAAACAATAGGCCCGTATATCCTTTACACAACTCGTCAGCATCAAAGGCTGCCAGGACACTTGAATACCCGACAAATGAAGAAAACTGTTGTTATTTTTAACTGTGTGGGAAGTGAAATGTCCTGCTCCTGTGTAGACGTTATTAAGCGTCGGCTGTGAGCGGTATGGACTAACAACAGTTTCTTTGTCTTCAGCTGGACTCAGAAAAACTGAAAAAGATCCCCATCCTGAAGAAGCTGCGTGCTCTGGAGGAACAGGCTGGGAAGGATGTGACATTGGGGGCAACGCCGCCTGCAGCTGAGCCCGGTCTGCAAAACGATGACCCGAAAAGGCAGCCCAGACGGAGGCCGAGGCGGAACACACAACAGGATGCAGAGGGAGAAACCAGCCAGGAGTCCAGACAGGAGAGAGGATCAGAGTCAGGACAGAGAGCCAGACAGCAACCGGCAAGGGTGAGGAAAGAAAGCAGAGGAAGTGGAAAGGGAGATGCAGACAAGGAAGCTGGTAAAACCGTAAAGGAAAGAAGCAGGAGGATGGTGAAGGAGCAGGGGTCAGAAGAAGTTGGAGGTGAAGAGGTGAGCCAGAGGAAGCTCCCTCAGAGCGTGACCACAGTCTACCTGGGAGGAATCCCCACCGGGCTGCGCGTTAGCGAGCTCAAAGCTGCTCTCAGAGAGAGGAATGCCGCTCCACTGAGGCTCACCTGGCAGGGAGCTCAGCACAGGGCCTTCCTGGATTACAGCGACCCTCAGGGGGCAGATCAGGCCCTGGAGGCTCTGCAGGGCCTCTGTCTGAACGGTCAGAACCTGCAGGCCGAGCTGGCCAAGAGCCAGCGTGGACAGAAGAAGTCTGGACAGAGACAAACTCTGTCCAAAGCTTCTAAGTCAAAAATGTCTCCCCTGAAAGGTGGCTCCACGAAGGAGACGGAGCAATAACAGCAACAGGCAGCAAACAGGTCAAAATAATAGTTACATAAAGCTTTAACACCATTGGAAGTATTAAACTTTGCTTTTTATTTTATTTTTACTTGTGAAGCAAACATCTAATGAAGTAGTAAATGAAACAAAACTAAAAAGTGGTGAAATTAAGAGATTTGTTTTCTAACGTAATAATTTACAATGACACATTTATGTGCCTTACTCCTATCTTCAGGCTCCTGTGTCTTGACAGCATTTATTAGTTTTTTTAGTGATTTGATGTGTGGTTTTATTTTATTTTTTAACTGTAGATCACAATAAAAGATTTGCATTTCTTGTTTCTCAAATGACCTCGTCTTTAATCCAAACCCAACATCTAACTGGTAAACTATCCACAGAGTTAATGATAAATGGCGCCCCCTTCTGGCCAGTTTAATCGGCTTAAATTGAGCAATGCTTATTTTCTAACATGCAAGCAGAATTTTTAATGATCACAAATCTGTTAAATGTTTATAAAAAACGAAGCATTTGTGTCTGCTGCTCGTTTTAGCATCACCAAGGAGAGAAGCTGGTGTTCTATATGTGATTAATCTTCTTTGTAAACTTTAAAATGAAGGAAAATAAAATTATTAATCTATTTTTATTAATTGTTGAAACCTGCCTTGTTTCTGCTATTAGACATATAAATGTAGGATTTATTTTAAAGAAGTTTTCCTTTGATTTGTTATTTTGGGGCCTTGAGAAAAGCTTTGTTATATTAAAACAATGATATGGCTTCAAACGGTGATATTAGCTATTTTTATTATTAATAACAGTGAGTTCTATGTTACACCCTGTCAGATGAGAGTGATGAAGCTTTTTGTTGCATCTGGGCTGTGTTTTGGTCATTTTTCAGACAAAGAACATAATTTTTTGTGATCCTGATTATAATTTGGGGCATGTTTTGGAGATGCGCCTACACAGCTTACACTTTTAGACCAAAAACAAAAACGTAAAAATATACGTGACATTTCAGATTCTTGTGTTAACTCGTTCACGGTGTGAACTCAAACTCGTTTTAAACAGGAGTCCCTTTTTTTATGCAGGATAAAACTTCAAATTGAGCTTATTTCAGAGTCTGATTTCAGTCTGATCAAGAGCTTAATTGAAAAAAATCTGTGACAAAAACAAAAGACACACAAATACAGCCTGGCCTGCCTGGTAAAGGACTTTTGTTCAAAGCTTTTTGTGTCTCTGCACAGATTTTACCTGGAAAAAGGATGATCTGTGTGTCCGTCAGATGTCAGAGTTTTTTCCCACCGAGACTTGAGCCTATACTGTATCTATGCTCTGTGCAGGACCAGATCTTTTTATGGAGCTGTCATCCAGGCCTAGCCTAGGAACAGCTGTGCACTTCCATCAGAGCAGAGCTCTGAAGATCAGCAAATGTCATCAGTTAGTTAATGTTCTGTTTCAGCGCTCCGGAGCCTGCTCACCCTGAGCTCCGTGGTATTTTACTGGGGTTCAGTCACTGGTCATGCAAAATGTTGAACCAAGTAGAGCAAAATGCACAAGATGTGCAGCTGTAAGCAAAGAGCATGTGTCACTAAATGCCCAAAAGTACATCGAAAGTAGTGTGCATCAGAAGAATCTGACTGCAGGGTTTTTCCTTTCCTTTGAGAATTCTTTTTAGCATATTTTCTGCAAAAAAACGATCTTTTAATGACTAAATTTAGAACTTTAATAGAAGACATTTTGGATAAAACATTCAGGACTTCACAGGTTCGTTATTTAATTATTTCCTTTAATTGCATCTTATTGTTGTGACTGCTGTACAAGGTGAAGTGTTTTAGAGGAGATACAGAGTTTGTAAAAACTGTAAATCACTTGAATCAGTTTTTGTTTTCTCATCTTCATCTCAACACTTTTCCACAAATGAGTGAATCCATTAACAATTCATCACAAATGAATCAATCATCAGCACAATTTCTTATGTCTCTTGAGAGCAGAAATGTTTTTAATCAGATTTTTGGAGAAAAGAGTCTAATTTAATACTTTAAACATTACTGAGTCAAAAATCTGTGGGAAAAATAAATGTTTATATTAATTTAATATCTGATAACGCTTTAAAACAAGTCATAGGAACTATTTTACTAGTGGCTCTTGTGCATGGCTGAGAACGGTTAAATCGGTTTGATCCCAACTTTAGTCAAACAGATGAAATTTTACAGATTAGTTTTGGACGAACACAATTTATTATTATCATAAAAATATGTGTTGTTTGCTCTTTTGTTGTATTCCACTATAAAAGTACCAGGAATTAGGAATGCTATATAAAATGAAAAATACCTCAGATTTGTGGTCTTAAACATCACTGTAAATCAGATTTATTTTATTTTTAAATTGTTTTTTTATTAAACCTAAACATAAACCCTCGCTATAGTAATACAGTGCTGAAGGTAAAATACAAAACGACACAGTGCTTATAATATATCCTCGAGTTCATTTTACAAATAATAAGCATTCTGACAAATATTGCCAATAAAGCTTATAACCCCTTGAATAATTTGCCTGAAATTAAAATATAGGCCTACAGAATAAATAAAAAAGTTGCGCTTATAGGCTTTTAAAAAAGTGCCATTTTTACACATTATACAGTTTACAGGCCTAAATAATGTCAACGTTTATTTCAGAATTTAACGTTTATATAGTCCCCCCCTCCCCCTCCCCCTCCAAAAAAATTAATAACGTTGTCTAATTTATTAACAAAAATAAAAGTAAAAAACATGAACGGACAAAATGCGAGTGTGCATATTTTACAAAAACGAATTAACTTGTGAAATGAGTCATCTGCTCTGCAGGACTGTGGTACCAAACAGCAGCTGGGTTCTGGTCCGGACACTTTTCACCCCGCTGAAAGCACTAAAGGGTTTTGAATTATTATATATTATTATCGTGTTTGGTGCGTCGCTGCCTCCGTGTCTGTCTCTGAGTCAAACAGCTGTGGAGCGTTTCTCTCCACCCGGCTGTCCAGGTGTCTCTCAGTCAGTGGTCATTTTACTCTCCGGTTCTGTTTAGTGCAGCCCGTCCGCGTCAGGCGCGGATCACATGACGCAGGGCTTGATGTCCTGGTAGGAGACCTGTTGGTGGTGGTAGTAGGAGCCGTTTCCCGTTGCGTGCATGGCCGAGGACGTCATGGCGTTAAACGAGAAGACGAACTCCTTCCGGTCGCACATGCTGGGGGACTGGGAATGGTACCGAGGGATCCCTGCAGGGACAATATAAAAAGGTGTGAATTTTTAAAATCTCTAATATAATTTCATAGATCAGATTTCTAACTTGAAATTGTTGTAGAATTACGCGTTTAAATAATAAAATGTAATTGGGCGAAATAGGCAAAAATAAGACAAATCAATTCCAAAATACAAATGAGGAACAAGACCTGCTTAAATAGAGTTCAATTTATGGAACCAACGGTGGCATTATTCCAATGTGCGCTTTTATTCAGGCAAATAAAAATAATGCGTTTGACTCACTGATTTAAACCAATTGACAGACCTGAAATCCATTTGTCAGGCACGTTTAAGGCTCCCACTAAGAGAGGCGGGATTGCGGGTTAATTGACAGTGGCCCTCTTGCACGCGAGCCCGGGGGCGAGGCCGGCTGGACCCTACCGAAGTTGTTTTTATAGCCAACAGAGCTCCAGGACTCCACAGTGTCCTGGCTAAACCACTTCTATCAAACCAGGAGAATCTAAACACTGTTTGATGTTGGAAATTCTCCCCAATTGGCGTAATTTACATACTTTTATTATTTTGGTGTAATTATAAGATTTTCTGCAACATAAAAGGAGATAATGCCAGTCTAAATGATTATTATAAATTATTAGGCCCACATTTGGCACAAATAGATTTTTGCGTTAAACCTCCTCATTTCTACTGAATCCATTTTTGTTTATGTGAATTTTTTTATATTTTCTTGACTTCATTTGTGTAATTTTGCGTATTTCTTCTATTCAAACACAACCAAGTGCCTACCTTGCAGGTCTGTGGTGGCGTGGCCGTTCTGGTGCAGGTATGGTTGGTCTAATGAGTGCGTGGGCAGGCTCGGCTGCAGGCTGTTCGCTCCTGGATTACAGGGAGACAGTGGCTGCTGCTTAATGTAAGAAGCTCCGTTATTCAGAGAGGCCGATGGCGCTGGAGCCCACGCCGAGGCTGAGCTCGAGTAGACGGGGTGAGGCTCCATTACTCCCCCGCTGGTGAGCAGAGGGGAGGCAGAATTGTCGTGGTGGGGATAATCGCTCCCGGTGGATCCCGTACAGCTTCCCATGTAGGAATGTCCACCGTTAGTCGACAGGTGTGACATGGAATGACCGGACAGACCCATCCCGTCCATGTTTCCTAAGTGTCCGTTCATCATCCCGATCCCGCCGTCCAGAGACAAGCTGTTGGGCGGACATGAGAGGCCCCCTCCGCTCCCTTGGAAGTTGTAAGACTCAGGGATGTGGTTGAATCCCAGGCCGTTCATCATGCTGTACATGGGCTTCAGCGCCTGGCACTTGCGTCTAAAACCCCGGGGCCTCCTTCTGAAAGAGCCCTCCTCGAACATGAACTCACTAGCTGGGTCGATAGTCCAGTAGTGGCCCTTCCCTGGTCGACCGAGGCCTTTGGGCAGCTTGATGAAGCACTCGTTCAGGGATAAGTTGTGACGCACGGAGTTCTTCCATCCCTGATAAGAGCCTCTGAAAAACGGGAAGCGGCTTTGCAGGAACTGGTAGATTTCACTGAGCGTCAAGCGCTTGGTTGGGGAGCTCTGGATGGCCATCACTATCAAGGCTATGTATGAATAAGGAGGTTTCTCTGGTCGTCGGATCCCCGCGTTTGTTTTTTTGGTTTTCGTTGTGGATGAAGCGGTTTCCATCACCACCGTCTGTCCGTGCGGCTTCTCCGGAGCAGACATCGGGCTGCTCTGAGCAGGAGTCTGCGCTGGGGGCTGCTGGACCTCTGCCGTCATGAGTTTGACAAGATTCAGTTGAAAATTTTTCAAATGAAAAACACTATCTCTCCAGAAAAAAAACGACCCAAACTCAAAGGCGCGCCTGTATTTGGATCAATCCTGCTGCAGTTAGAAACCGGAGCGCTTAAAATGTTTAACGTCCGAGCTGGTGCAAGGAGCAGAACAGGAGCCGCTTTCCACTTCACTTGATGTGTTGTCGTGCGTCCGAGGAGCTCACTTTTTACTTATCTGTTGCCATCGGAGCATTGGAAGCTGTAGGTCTTGTCATCCGAACGCTGGGGCCCGCCCAGTCCCCTCCTACTCCAGTGGTGGGCTGCAAGCATGCACATCTGCGTGCGTGCGCTCACTTTTCTGTGAAATGCTTTCATTTTAAAAAAGAAGGAAGAAACGAAAGACATAAATATGGACTATATATAGCACGTGCAACAGATAACAACAGGACAACAGCACAGAACAAGATCAGCCGCCAAATATTTGCTACGCATGCAGATCCTGGTCTGGATTTCTTTGTTTTGGATAACTGCGTTTCTTTTTTCTGTTTCTTTATTTAAAATAAATAATTTAGTGGCATAACTGGCATGTGCTCATGCGTAATCAAAAAAAAAAACTGCAGCCCTATAGGGTCACAAGGTGGGCGCATCATTACTGATGCAAGATGAGCACGTCTCCAGACCTTAAACGCATTAAATAGTTTCATACAACACATTTTTAATGTTTGAAAACATTTTAACAGACAACACCGTCCTCACATTAAAACCAGCCTCCTGATTTCTGTAAAAGATAGACAGGACCATGGGCAGGATGTTTATACAGGAGAATGTAAACATTTTCCCTGGCCTTCTTTAAATAAAAAATCAAGCAAAAAGCCCCACTAGATCAGCTAATACTCAAACTGATGCGCGTCCTCTCTGCGTGTTGGATCTTTTTTTTGTTTGTTTTCTTTCACTCTCTTTGTAAAATGAACACAATTTGTGAAACGCAGTCTTAATATTTACGCTGGAGAAGTGAGGTGGAGGCGCAGGACTGTGCGTGCAGAGACTCGGACTGGACTTGAGCTCGACTCCTGCAGGCAGCCGGACGCGGAGTGAAGCAGGATTAGAGGTGAGGTGGATTTTAATGCGTTCAAGAACATCTCAAACTATACATAAAATGGGTGCACGGAGCTCGCAACGATTTGATTGGACTTCAAATGGATCGGAGGCGGTTGCGCGTAAGTTTTCAAGTGCGAAAAGCTTCAATGGATCGTTTTATTACCTAAGATGCAGCTGTGAGTGAGAGCTGCTGGAAGCGAGCTGTCCTAAAGCTGTTGACAGTAGTTGCTTATAGTTCCCTGGAGATGCAAAAACGTCAGAGTTCAGCTGTTCTTTCCTGGGGTTGCGTTTGATTCCCGATTTTATTCCATTAAAATACAGAATAACAACAACAGCGGGGAATAAATAGAATATGCACATTAAAGAAAAACAGCGCAGTGACGTTCCATGTGCGCATAACTTTCAGATCTTTTTTAATTGTTAAATTTTTGCATAAAAACTTTTGTCAATATTAGATGTAGTGTCAGATATTTTCTTTCTAGATGCAACTTAACTAATAAAATCCAATTAGATAACTCATTTCCTTCCATTTGCAAACTTGGAAACGTGAAAATTCTGTTTTAGAGAAGATAAAGTCACAGATAAATGAATGTATGTATTGTTTTATCAGCCGCTCGCGTGAAGTCAGGACCACCCAGCGCGCACCAGCGCCAGGCGCGCTCCCGTTCTCTCTCTGCCCACTGCGTTTAATTACGGCTGATGACTTCATTCCATTAAGGCTTTTACCCTCTCACGCTCGGCCGCCTCATGTTATATTATTCTTTTTCTGCAGGACAGGCACGTTTGGACTTTTTCTTAGAGCCGATGCCAATGTTCTTAATGTAATCTATTCTGTATTCGATGAAGATGCATATTTCCAAAAACAAAAGTCTCATATATAACCTCTTCAAGTGAAAAATCAGAACTTATTTGGTATCCCAATGTCATACTTGAATCAGCAAATTATTTTTAAAATAAGAATCTGCAAAGTAGATGTGAAAAGAGACAAGTAAAATCAGGGTTTCGGTGACAGATCACGAGGTCTCAGCTAAGTCATGCACTTTTCCATGACGTCCTATCATGAATTATTTGACAGGTGCTTCATCCTGTGGAATGCGCCATCACACCACGTGGTGCACGTGCCCGGCTGGCTCTCCGGACCTCTTCTTTTAGTTTCGGAGTCTTGATAAAAAAAAGCCAACTTTAACCTTTTCTGTTTGAACTTGCCATGACGTAGCAGCACATTTCTCCCCACATCTCAGACTTCAGATAGAGATTACCAAAACACGAGAGCGGAATCAAATATTCAGCTCTGGATTATTGTCATTGATTTATCTCAACTAGATGATCATTTTAAAAGTTTCTCACATGTGAGTCAAAGTGTCAACAGTTTTCTTTCTGGGTGGTGAAAGAGGTCTGCAGTGGGTCAAAGAGAGGCCGCAGACTGAGTGTGTTTGGAGGACAGTATACAAAAAAATCAATCACCCCATGGTCCAGTCGGTCATTGAAGAATCAACTATAAGATGGAATAATGACAAATGCTTGAAGAACAATTGTCAAAAACTCCTTTAGAGGAGGAAAATCAACTTATTGGTAAATAGAGATGAAACATTTTAAAGTGTCGTTGGTTAGAATGTTTTTTTGTTTGACAAAGTAACTTAAAGAGCAAGTCACCCCCTACAAGAAACTTACTTCACTCCTTCTTCATGTTTAAAAATGCAACAAATGATGTTGCCTAGCAGACCGAGAGGGCAGAGCCACTAACAAATACACACACAGGCTCACAACGACAATGTGACATCATAATGTACCCGTTTACATCACAGCATACCTCTTAGCCAATAGCGGTGGTAGATTTAAATTCAACTGCAGTGCAGAGTTTTTACCTGACAACTGCACAACAATGACAGTTTTAAGCAGAACATTTAAATTTTAACTGAAATGCACTAAAGTGCTAAACTATTGACTACACGTGTCTGCAGCACGATTAGACACGCATTTATATAGTTTATCCGGAATAAAAAAGCTGATTTGGGGGTGATTTGCTCTTTAATGATTTGGATGACAAACATTCCTCATTTATGTTTATTAATTAAACAAGATGACACAAGCATTTACTGGTTACAGAATAGGTCAAACACACTCAGGTTTTTGGTTTGGCGCATGCGAGTAAATAAACATGCACTTATTGAATTTCTTGACATTTCTAAATCACTTTTCAGCATCAACCAGATTTAGAATATTCTGAACCAAATTTCACTCCTACAGGAAACCCAGTGGGTCTAAGTGTCGCCTGCAGTTCCTCCATGTTGTCCCTTGAACTGGGAACATGTTGGGGTGCCCCCCCCCCCCCCCCCCCCCTCATCACTTTCCCTGCGCTGTAGGCGGCCGTGTGTATTTTTGTTTAAGTGCTGTTTATGTGATGGAGAACGGACGGGATTGCTCACAGACTGCTGATTGCGCGCAGCATCAAGTCTCCGCCGCCGTGATGCGTGCCGCGGCGAAGCCGCGTCAGCCACCGGTGATGGCGTAACACACTCTGCTCGATCAGATAAGCCTATACCGCGGGGTAGAGTCGTGATGTTTGTGGAGACACGAAAAATAAATAAAATTGAACTCTGATCTTCTACATATTGATTAAAACAACAAACATACAGCCGAGTTGATGGCCACTGAGCCTGACCCAATTCCGATGTATGGGTCACTTGCCCTTGTTAAAAATAATGGTCATCCAGAGCGTGATGCTTTAATGATCAGATCAAATCTGTTTCCCTAAAATGTTTTAAGTGATTTCGATCAAACTTATTCCTGGCATTTTAGGGAAAATCCGTATTGTGTTATTTTATTCAAAAATGCTTAAATTTTCTGTTTTCATGCATTTAACTCTAAAATTACATCAATTATAATCATTTATTTTAATGTTGTACAAAACGCATTTTTATAAAATCGTTACCTCATCCTGATGCACCACCTTTCATTTTGCTTCGACACACCCATGAAATATATTTACCTCCTGCAATAACTGTGTATTAAACAACTGGGAGTCATGCTTTACTTGTTATTACTGTACGTTAAAAATATGATTTTGTACATATGTCCCTATATATGGGTGTGTGTGTATATATATATATATATATATATATATATATATATATATATATATATATATATATATATATATACATGTGTGTGTATTTATATATATGTATATATATATATATATATATAATCATATTTTTACATCAAACTGACTTCAGATCTCTTGGGAAACCATCTTCAGGTAAAATCAACACTGAAAAGCATTAATCTTTATTCTGCATCTCTGTTTATTTTGGTCTCAGTTATTATGTTACTCCATAATGTCTTACAAACAATACAAATAAATGCCATATTTAAAATATGTGGACACATGTTTTTTTCATCAGAACCTCAGCCCCTTCACACCCTGCCTTTTGTGAAAGTCTCACCAATTCCCCCAGAATAAAATCTGCTCTAACCATAAAATTAACCTTTCTTATATATTTTGGAAACATTTAAACAGTTCGTGAATGAAAGCAAAACACACGTTGGAGCTTGTGCAAAGGCCCAAGTTTTTTCCTGTTTGTTTCATTTTCTTAATTAAAAAATAATAATTTGGCCAGTCAGATGTCACACTAATAAAAATGAAAACAGAATGAGGCAGAGTAAAATGTGTGATTATGGTACCTGTTCTCAGCTGTCAGCATGCTGGCAACTTGTGTTTCTAAAGATTTATAACTCCAGCAATAAAGAAATGATTTTGATAAAACATTGAAAGAATAAGGAAAACCACAACAAAAAGGACACACGTGTGTTTTGTATTAAACCAAGAATATTTATTTGAAAATTTTACGGGTTCCGATATCTTTTTGGAGAGTTGATAAGCAACTCCTAGCTAGATTTAAAACAACTGGAAAAGATTTAGAGAAGCTATTGAAATTTAATTTTTAAAAATATTTTTAGTTTCACAAATAATAATAAATAATTGATGAATATATGTGTTATTTTTTACAGCATTTTCAAGTACTTTTTATTTTTAGAGTGACATCAAATGGAGCTATACATCATGCTTCCACCAATGTGTGAAAAAAACTATGTATATATCTATATATATATGTATATATATGTATATATATATATATATATATATATATATATATATATATATATATATATATATATATATATATTTATATATATATATGTATATATATATATATATATATATATATATATATATATATATATATATATATATATATTCACACAAACCAACTTAGTTCATTAAATTTACTTATCAGTTTGTACCACATTCTCCCGAGTTCAGTGGCTCCTTCTTGAGATTCAAAATCACATTTAAAACATTATAACAACGTTAAACCTAAATGCATTTTTTCAGCTGAAAGCAGGTAAATTTCAGCCCTCATGGCCTCTAAAATGCATTTGTGCTCCTTTAGAAAACAAACCAAACACACTTCCCCCTTCCTTTAGTTACTTTCTGCTCTAGCTTCTCTTCTGCCGTGCTTCGGCCTCACTGTGAAGGCTTGGTCTCACACAGTGAGTGGGAGAGCTTGTTTAGTGCCCCACCCTGCAGTTCTGCACACCTCCCAGAGTCGGTCTATCATGGCCTGTCTAATGTAGGGAGAGACATCAATAATGAGAGCTGAAGCAGAAACCACAGTGGAGAACACAAAAGAGACGGGGAGGGCTGACGCAGGCCACAACTGGTTCTGCTGCAGGTTATCTCCTTTGATACTGCCCTCACAGCAGTTTGATGGGTGCACATGGGCCAACATGGGTTTATATGTGCATGTTTACATAATATCTATGGTGTTTACACACAGCCCACCAACCCTTTTTTTCTTTCCTCTGAAGGGGGATTTTCCTGTGGCATGCTGCTTCGGAAAAAGCAATTAAGAATTCCCAAACAGCACACCACAATGGGAGATATCATTTGTGCAATGTGTGTTCCGTGTCCCTCACAGTTTTTGTCTGGAACGGTTTGACTATTTTTAATCTGCGCACAACCAAATCCACCTACAGAGAAACCACAGATGGAATGAAAGAGACTGAGGATGAGTGGGCATGGTAATTGACTATTGTGGAGCTCAAACTCCTCTCTTCTGTCGTAAACACACCAGGAAGTTTTACAACTTGATACTCAGTGCTACGGCGGATTTGAAATTGGGGCATATCCTCGTTGTTCGTGGGAAGCCATAGGCAGGCAGCGGTCGGAATCAGCCAGGAATGCTTCGGGATGGTAACTGGATTCATTTGTAATGCCCAGCTCTCCGCAGCGGAACACCAGGGTGGGAAAAAGGCTGAGAGCATTTCCTGAGCAGAGAGGGGGGGTCCAAGTGAAGCATCACATGCATGGCATCTTGTGACAGAGACTCTGCCAGGTCTAGGCCCTGATCCTAAGGGAGGAGAAGACTGAGGCTGCGGGAGATGTGGTAGGGGAGGAGGGAAATGCCAAGAAAAGAAAGGAAAAGATGGTGGAGAGCTCCGAATGAAGACAGGAACATGAAGTTGTGAAGGGCAGAAACATCAACAGGTTGAAAGGAAGAAGATGTAAAAAAAACTGTCTGTTTTAAATGTTTCACGTGTCCATAAGTGTTGTTCTTTAGGCCTGATGGAACAAAATTCATGTTAAGGAAGTAAAAAGACAGGAAATAATTATATTAGTGCAGAATATAATTAAAATCTATCAGCTTGTTTCTATCTTGTTCATCAAAAGCAGAGGTAATGTGCAACTCCTACAACGCTCCCCTTAAACAGATAAATCCTTCTTTTTACACAATTTTTGATTATTTTATCTACCAAAAACACCACACACTCACTGTATTTAAAGCGTGTAGCCAGCTTGTTATTTTTTCAATGTAAACGTAATTAAACAAAGTGTAGAAAATGATGAAAACCTGGAGAATTTGTGATTTTTAAAATGAATTTAAAAACATTTAACTCAGAACGACACAACTGTTTCTGAAATAGTTTCACGTTTACGTTTGTGTCTGGTTTTTGTCTCAGTTTTGGGACTTTTTCAGCTATAATCTCCTGGCTTGTCCAGCTCATTTGTCCTTGTAGGGACCAACGCCTGGACCTGATGGGGTGCGACACAATCTTTGGGTTTTAGCTCGAGTCAAAAGTTTGTTGTTTTGGGACGTTTGTGGCAATTGAATCACAAAATTAAACAGTCTCCAACAAAATATGTTTTTCTGGCAAAAACTACAATTTGAACACGCACTAGACAAATTCTGCAGCTTTAAATGACAGGGATGTTTCTGCAGCCCAAGTCTTCACACTTTTTATGATGTGTGATATTGCTGCTAGCCAGAGTTCCATATTACATGCTATCCTCTGTCCAACAGCGTCCACCTTTACGGGTCTGTATCTGCTACATGTGATCAAGTGTCGCTGTCAGCAGGAGAATTTGGTCGACTAAATATTTGTATATGTGTTCGTCGTCAGGCTCAGCTCCCTCTGGCTTGTGTAAACGTTAACGATGGGAGAAATCTTACCCTGTAATTGTCAGAAGGGCTCTTTATTTTCACCTGCTACCGGCCTCTTTCCGTTGGTCTGCTCTATAACAATGGCACAGAGAAGGCTCGAGGAGTGCAAAGTGATTGATGTTTGACTCCGTTTGGCCCGCGTCTTCAGACGGGGGCCCAAGAGGAAGTGGCTATCCCTCCCTTCCACCCTCACTACAGCCTGCAATGGCGCTGGACTTAGAAGAGGAAAGTGCTAATCGGGGACGTCCCATTTTTAGCAAAGTGCCAATCGCTCCAAAAGACAAGTTGGCGGGGACATATAAACAAAATTTTAAAGTCTTATAAATCAATTACCAACCAGAAGAGGCTGAACGGAGTTCATTGATGCCACACAATCAAGCTCAACTTCATTCCTCCATCTCATCATCTCCACCTATCACTCTTGTTCTTGTCCTGCAGAGAGGGAAGAGACACAGGCTCATCTCTTGCTGCATTCTTTCCATTTTACTGGAGAGCCGCGATGTACAGAAGGTAATCCATCACCCAAACCCTTGGTCCTTCTCCCTGCCTGTTTCTAACTGTTTCTCTTTCTCCTTCCTCCAGTCTCGAGTGGGCAGGCGTGCGGCTTTGGCCACAGGAAGCCGTGAATTCTTCACAGAATGGAAGATGTCTCGTGGAGAGACATGCAACCCCCCTCCTCCTCCTCTCGATCAACCACACGCCACCCCAAAATGACCCCTGACCCTTTCGTCTGTTTATATCAGACCATGGAAGTGAGAAATAGTGATGAGTCACTCTGGCCCTGTGTTTACACTCCGGAGTCACGCAAGGAAGGAAATCAGCCACGGTCTGCTAAATGTGGTGAGGTGAGAGAGAGAAGCTGTGATTTACCTCTCAGAGACATTATTTACACGCTTTACACTCTTTTCACGTGTCTGAGCAGAACCTCCCTGAACCGTCTACAGGTGGTTCAGAAAGCCTGTGCTCGGCTTCTGACCAAGTCCTCCAAACACACCCACATCACCCCGCTTCTCCTCCAGCTTCACTGGCTGCTGGTCAACTTCAGGGTTCATTTCAAGATCCTGGTTCTGGTCTATAGGGCCTTACATGGACAAGCACCATCTTACACTGGTGATCTTCTTAGTCCCTACACCCCCAGCAGGTCCCTGAGGTCCAGTGATCAAAGCCTACTGGTTGTGCAGCACCAGGCTAAAGACCAAAGGTGACAGATCATTTGCTGCTGTGGCCCCCAGACTCTGGAACTCTCTCCCCCTGAGCCTGAGATCAGTGGACTCAGTGGTCTCCTTTAAAAAGCAGCTGAAGACTCACTTGTTTAAGCTGGCTTTTGGATGAACTTCTTCACCACTCTCTCTTTATTCTGCTCTCCCCGCCTATTCCACGTTCCTCAGGATCCACTGATTTCCCTCTTTTCTATTCACTCTCTCTCTTTCTTAAATTTTTTTAATCACAATTGTCTATTTTTTTGCTCATTTTAAATATATTTTTAACCATTTTCTAAATTATTTTTTTTAATTTTGACATTTTTTGTTTTTGTGAAGCGCTTCAAGATTTTTTAGCTTGAGAGGTGCTCTTCTTCTTCTTCTTCTTCTTCTTCTTCTTCTTCTTCTTCTTCTTCTTCTTCTTCTTCTTCTTCTTCTTCTTCTTTAATTCACATCACCCCAGAAAGCGGCAGAATTAGTGGCAGAGAGGACGTTAGAGGAGATAAAAGGACCAAAACATAAAGAAGAAACCAAGTTTTTGTGCCTGTTACAATACCCATGATTTTAGTACATAAAGCAGCAGAATCGTTTATTCAATATGACCACGGATGAACTTTGAAGTGTTTTGTTTGATTTTCTGTGGTGTTTTAGTTCTAATATGAGTCAGAATCTCAACACAAATGTGTTGTCTCAGATTATTTTGTTTATTTTTTTTACAAAAAAAAGAAAATTTTACTGACTAAACATTTTCCTACACAAATATTTTTTATATTTTCATGTCCCAGAAGATAGTGAACTGATTTTCATCAGTGAAAAACAGAAGCTACATTATAGTCCTGTGAAAAGTGAGTTTCATCCAGATTTCTTCTTCTATTTTTTTCCCCTTAGATGTTTTAGGTCCACAAATCTAAATATCACACACACACACACACACATACACACACACACACACACACACACACACACACACACACACACACACACACGCACGCACGCACGCACACACACACACACACACACACACACACACACACACACACACACAAAACCTAATGCAGAGAACAATTTCAGAAAGAGGATTTCAGTTAAAATAACAACCTGGTAACCTGAAGTGAACCCTTAGCTTAACTCGTAATGCATCTCTTACATTTCTCTGGACACATTGCTACATTGTAGATTAAATTAAGTTAAATGGAAGGTTTTCCAGCATGAACAGCCTGTTTAAGGTCAAAGGTCAGACATTCTTCATCAGGATTTTCTGAGAGTGAACAGAATTCATGTCAGCATTGAAAACAGCAAGTCATCCCGGTTCTCACACCATGACACTCCCACCACCATGTTTGATTGTTGGTATGATGTTCTGTTTTTGAACAAAAGTTCCAGTTTGATTTGTGAGGATGCAGAATCCAGGAAGTCTTGGGGATAAATAGGATCTTTTTGGGATAAATGTGAAATGTGTCCTTGAAACTCCACCATGACCTCTGACCTTTCACTACACAAGGCCTGGAATGCATTAGATGTTCCTTTCTTGGATGTGCCTGATGCATCCATGAAAAGATCTACTCCTCACTCTAATAGTCTTATTTTTCATTAATTGTTGAGGAACAATCAGCGGCATTGTTTCATATTCTATTTGTATATTTCAGAATTTGATATCATGGAAATCAGTCAAACTTCTAACAGCTGGGTCATTGTCACGTTTCTGGTTTGGATTGAAGCAGAGACGTTATGATTGATGACAGAGTCCCATGAGTATTTCCACATGCCTCTCAGACTGTTTTGACGTGAAATTTTCAGCGTCTTCATCATAATTCAGTTTATTTTGACAGTAACAGGTGATTGTATCATTTAGGGATATGCACAGTTATAATTTCACTTTGGGACTGTGCTCATATGTGTTTTCATGTGTGTGTGTCATTGCTGTATAAACACTTGACACGTCCCGTGTCGTCCCTCAGCTTCCCAGCCAGCATCCCGTGAGCGCTGTTTACTGCGGCTTCCACTACATTTTCAAACACACACTCACTGTTGTCCTCCAGGCCGCTGGACCTTAAATTGCTCAACGGCTGTTTTCAATGCACAGCTGCAGTTAGTGAAGTTGCATTGACTAAATAAAAGTGACACTTTTTCAGTTTTTTTCCCCTCCATCCCTATTCTGGTGCTGGAAGCTTCATTGCTGCGTGGTGAGGATCCTTTTACACACCATCATGCACACCACCACAATGAGAGAGTTAGAATTGTAAGTGCTGTCAGGGACTTTGATTGATTGTTGTGTTTATCACCATGTTATTAAGAAATCAGGCGAACCACAGCTGGGCCTGAAGCTCCTTAATTCCAACTGAATCACACAGCTTAGTGCTAATTAAAGATTTTCTAAACAGGTTTATTTTTGTGATTTTTTTTATTTTAAATATAGTTGTCTCTGTTTCTTAAGAGCGCTGATTGTTGCATTTGAGCCCTCTCTGGAACCTTTTATTACCAACCTTTACTTGAAACCATGGCATGGTCCTAAAAGCAGACCATCGACGTAAAAAACAGAAAAGTCTCTGTACAACACAAAATGGCTAATGAGCCCGCGTTCTCTGGATATGTCCAGATTTATCCTCGTTTGGTTAATCGAGCCTGCGGCAGGCTGCCTTTGTGTATTTCTGAGGTAAACAGAGTCACGGCGAAGTGGACACGCTCCTGAGTGCGTCCTGACTGAAGACAGAGAGCCCTGTGGACCTCTATGTTTTTGAGGGTTAAATGTGATAAATGCTCATTTGGTAATGGGCCATGTATTAGAGTTAAACAGCTCATATAGGAGCCCCAGTTGGAGCTGTTGTTGGGGGCGGTTTGATCGAAGAATCTATCAGGTGGCAGATGTTTCACGTCTGTCCCCCTCTCACTCTCACCCACAAAAAGGAGGAACTGATGGAATTTAATTAAATCCACTGAAAATCAGAACAGATTGTTATCTCATACGACCATATAAGGTCATATTGAAATTTACTGATCCTCAGGGTCAAAATAGCATTCACGGTGTTGCTAAACTACCTTATTTTATTCAGGAGAAAATACAAAAGAGTTGTTAGATGTAGTTGAAAATGAGTTTACAAAAATCAAAATATGGTTCAATATCAATAGGCTTTCTGTAAACATCGATAAAATCAAGTTTATAGTTTTTTGTGGTAGTAAAAAAATTGCTGATGCGTTATTATATGTTAAAGGAAATAAGACAGAAAGAGTAAAAGAAGTAAAGTTTTTAGGTGTTATGATTGATGAACATTTATTGTGGAAGTGCTATTAAAATTAAAATATCTTAAACTATTACAGTACTAGATAAGACGAAGGAATTGTTGAACAAAAATCTGTATAACTCGTTAATTCTTCCACGTCTGACACATTGTATTGAAGTATGGGGAAGTACCAGCAAAACATAGACACATTAATTTTTTTTTTTACAGAAAAGAGCAACGAGAGTTATGAGTGGAAGCGGATTTGGGGATCATATGGATCTGATGTTTTCGCAACCAGATCTAATGAAATTCGACAAATTAGTAGATTATATTTATTAAAACTTATGTACAAAGCAAATAAAGGAGTTCTACCAATATATATTCAAACAGATTTGTAAAAAGAGAAAGTAATTATAATTTCAAAATAATTGATGTTTAAAAAAACAAGATTCCGAACAGCGATAATGAAAAGATGTATTTCAGTGATAGGTGTCTGTTTATGGGATTGTCTCAACAATGAAATAAAACAATCTAAATCATTTTCTGTATTTAAAAAAAAGTGTCAAATGCATCTTGATGAAGTAATAAGACCGTAAGTAGACTGATGGACTTGTTTGTGTTGGTGTGTGTGTGTGTGTGTGTGTGTGTGTGGGGGGGGGGTGGGGGGAGGGGGGGTGGTGGGGGGGTGAGTTTGAGTTGAACAGCTAACGTCTGATGTGAAAAGGGGGCAGATGTTATAAGTTTTTGCTTCTTTCTTCTCCTTTTCATTTAGGACTATTTGTGAACATGAATTGTTTTAATGTAAATTTTATGTGATTGATTGCATGAAATGAAATAAAAAATGGAATGGAATGAATAAAATTGATCAGTTGTGAGTAGATAAGTTGATAAACTGCTGGCAAGTTAAGCACCTGCTGGCTTGAGATCAGGTCTAATTGTTTTATGTGAAATGAAAGAAAATATGTGCAAAAATCATGTAAGTCTGTGAGTTGATGTAATTTTTGACTCATAAAGTTTAGGAAAACTTTTGAAAATATATTATATATATATAATTAAAGCATTGCTAAATGTTTGTCACTTGTGATTTATTTCTCATTGAGTCATGCTGTTTTTGAAGCAGTTTCTCCAGATTTTCAATAAACCTTTTCTGCATAAACCTTAGGATATTTTTGTTGATGATTTTTACAGTAGTGAGGGAGTAAAGCAAACATTCACCTTTCCATGGAATTGTTTCCACGTGAAGCTGCTTATTAGATATTAGAATGTCACTTTTCTTCAGGGACGTCCTCATCGTGTTTTTTAAATTGTCATTTAAAGGTGTGCTTACCTGAAATAAAACATTTTAAAATTATTATTTCTGATTGTAATCGGTCACATGAAAGCAGTCTCCCACACCAATCTCCTGCGTTAGCTTCTGATAGAATATAGACAGGATTTGAGGATCTTCATATATCTATCCATATCACCCCACTTCTCCTCCAGCTTCATTAGCTGCTGGTCAACTTCAGGGTTCATTTCAAGATCTTGGTTCTGGTCTATAGGGCCTTACATGGACAAGCACCATCTTACATTGGTGATCTTCTTAGTCCCTACACCCCCAGCAGGTCCCTGAGGTCCAGTGATCAAAGCCTACTGGTTGTGCAGCACCAGGCTAAAGACCAAAGGTGACAGATCATTTGCTGCTGTGGCCCCCAGACTCTGGAACTCTCTCCCCCTGAGATCAGAGGACTCGGTGGTCTCCTTTAAAAAGCAGATGAAGACACTTGTTCAAGCTGGCTTTTGTATGACCTTCTTCACCACTCTCTCTTTATTCTGCTCTCCCCACCTATTCCACCTTCCTCAGGATCCACTGATTTCCCTCTTTCCTATTCACTCTCTGTCTTTCTTAACATTTTCTTTAATCACAATTGTCTATTTTTTTGCTCATTTTAAATATATTTTAATCATTTTCTAAATTCTTTTTTATATTTTTACATTTTTTGTTTTTGTGAAGCGCCTCATGATTTTTTTCTTGAGAGGCGCTATAGAAATTATATTTTCTTCTTCTTCTTCTTCTTCTTCTTCTTCTTCTTCTTCTTCTTCTTCTTCTTCTTCTTCTTCTTCTATGTCACACTGTGAATTTGCATTCATAGCCTCGCCCATCTTGGCTCGCACCCTCCTACAGCAAGGGTTTAAACTTTTTTGTTTTGCAGTGAGGAGAGAGAGAGAAGAATGACTTGGTGACAGTGACTTTGTAACATGGCTGAACATCTTTTGTTATCCAATCAGAAGCAAGGTGTGCATATAATTAATAATAATGAGCAACCCTGCTGTTTTCACCCCACCTCTGTTTCAGCAAACGTCTGCATCTGAGAACAGGAGGAACAAATCAATTTTAACATTTTTTAATGACTCTTAAGGCATCGATTTACACTAGAACACTGCAAATGTATTGAATAAATGAGTAAACCACACCTTTAACTAATTAATATTGCATCTCAGTCAACTAGCTAAATGAGTTTTCTTATTTGTTTATTACAGCTCTTTTAGACTAAACACCATAAGAAATTAAAAGTTATAAAACAAATGTGTGTGAGTTTCAGTAGAGATCAGTTCGAGGCATTCCTAGTTTTAAAATGTGCTGATTTAAAAACACATTTAAAACTGTTTCCTGAGTTTTCCTCTTTCAGAAACAATGTATGATTTGTCAGAAATCCGTAAAAGTGATTATCTTATCATGTATATAATATGAGCAATACGTCTTTTTTATTTATTTATTTTTTTGCTAAGCACGCCCCCTGCCCGGCAGAGCTCCGTACAATAGGAAACTGAGTGCTGACCAGAACTAACCAATAGCGTTAGACTACCGCTCAGACGCGTCAAATTTAAGGAATACCTCAGCTGATGCAGAGCTGATAAACTTTTCACAGACAAGTAAGTCTATAAAACATAAATAAATGAAAACACAACATGACATGAGAATAATACTCATAAAACAGCATGTTTTAGCTCTGTTTGTCGGCTACAGAAGCACATTTGTAAACAGAAACATGAAGTCGTCATCTTCAAAAAAAAAGAGGAACAGCATTTTTGTGTGATATGCTTGTCAGCCACTAGATGGTGCCATTGGATAAGAGAAATACTCCGGAAGGAAGCTTTAAAGGTGGAAAATGGAACGCGAACACCAAAGCGACATCTAGAGTGTGGGTGTTGTTGTTGCAACAATAGAACAAAGATTATAGGCGTCCAGATGCCAGGTTCGCTACTCATACGCGAAGTGACCAACCAGCACCATGCTCAGTGACATATCGTGCAGGGTAAGGACTAATTCCTACTAATACGTTTATTTTACAACAGTGTTTAACATTAGCCTTTCTATTATCGACATCTTCTAAGCTCAGAAGCAGCTGCTTGATTTGCTAAGTTCGCCATTCTCCACAGTGACAGCCTAACTGTGCCAAGCGGACTGTTTACCATATTTGGCAACCTGCAATGGTGCCCTCTATTAGCTGGTAGTAAACATGAACTCAGTGTCATGCCCGTCAAAATAAAAATTTAAATAACTTAAATTCAAATATAGCTTTTAAAGGAAATACTGTACCTTCATTCTGCACACATCTAAACGCCACAAGGAGGTATTATGCTTTTGTAAAAATATAGTTTCAGTGACGACTGAAATTAAACACCCTTTAAAGATGCTGGTGGTCCCTTTATTTACTTTAGTCGTCTTTTAAATAAGTGCTATCAGTCTTCATACTATTGAGTTAGATAAATAATTAGACCCTGCAGCTGACTGATCCTTAACAACATCGACCGAGAGTGATTAATGACAGGGTTATACGGTCTTACATCCCTGTTTGAAACCAGACATCAGATAACTAACTAAAAGAATATATATATATATATATATACTTTTTATTTATTTATTCTGAAGACCGAGAAGAGCTTAAAAATTTTGTCCCCATCATGAAACCAGTGTAAACGATCCTGTGTTTACTCCTTGGGATAATTTACTGCACCAGTGAGACGAAAAGGCATTTGATCTGAATCATTTCTTTCTTTTGTTTTTTGCAGAAGAATAATTCAGGCAGAAGTAGATTTTATTGGCTTTTGTATGATCCGTCATGTCTGTAATGTTTAGCAGACACTCGGGATGTGAAACCTCAGGAATTCATAATGCCACATTAGTTATGGCGGGGACAACCTAAAGTGCTCGTGTGATGTCTAATCACATCCAACCAGGCTTATCACAGGTGTTTGGGAAGGATGGACAGATGGACAGATGGCCACATGGTTCTACTTTGACATCTGCTAATTCCAGGGAATCAATCCTAAATGACACCTACGGGATACACAGAGTGGATTTCCCTCTGATGCAGATTGGCGGTGGTTTGCAGATGAAAGACAGTAAAATAAATAAAGCTGTGGTGAGCAGGCAGAGCTCTGCTGTCCGCACACTACAACCATAATGGGATACATACTGACATGGGGAGAGAAGTGCAAGCCTGCTCCTGGTTTCTTTCTTTTTTTTTTTTTTTTACTTTAGTTGTCATGGAAACACTAGATGGACTCCTGTCGTCTGTCCGAAACATCTGTTTATTGCATAACAGCATGATATTTTTCAGTTTCAAAGGTTAGGAGCTAACAGCGATTAGCAGAGATCAGCTCTGTTCCTTGTCACCCTCCTCCTGTCTGCCGGCCCCACAGCTGCTGATTTCCTTTTAATCCGAATGCAGCTCATTAAATCAAACTCAACAGTATCAAATGGCTTTTTAACCTCCTCCAATCAATCTTTTCATCAGCTGCTGTGTCGGGGCTTGGCCTACAGTGGGAATGGTAATGGTAAGACAATCTTTCCTTGTCTCATCCTGGCTGGGATCAGGCATGATACTCCTACAAGTTACACTGACCTGCTAGTTCAGCACATTGCCAATGCAGGTTCAGCTTTTGCATGAAGAATTGTGCATTTACCTTCGTGCCTCACCTTTAAGACGCACCAAGTTGGCATTTTTTTTATTTATTTTTTTGCAGAAATTAGAACAGCATTTTAGTTTAATCAGCATAAATCAGCCTGTGAGGGTTAAAACTGAAGATCCTTTTTCAAAAAGGGAAAATGTCATTAAAGTTATGTGTGCAGTCATGATTTAAAATGTTGTTGTTGCAGAAAATGTGCAGCAGACAAAAGGTCTCAGTGTGGTGCTGGCTGCAAAAGTAGACGATCAAAAGGAAATCAAAGATCTTGCCTTAGTTTGTTGACTGAAGTTTAAATTGCAAATGCAGATATAATGCATCCTTGTATTTTGAACAAATCTACAACATGTTTCAGCTTTTTAGCGAGACAGGAAACAGTTAAATCCTCAATTTTTCTAGAAAAGAAAGATAGGTGTCATCACACAGTTGGATTTATTAACAGCTCAGACTAATTAGACACAAAAACGTTCCTGCAGTTAATACAGAAGCCTTATCGAGGTTTTGTCACTGGTGCCACTGAAGTGATTTATTCAGATTCTGGTCAACTCCCGTCTGATGCATTTCAACAAATCACAGGCTGAGGTCTGGCAAAGCCTTCCCCCATAACCACACTCATCCCTGTCTCCCTCTTTGACCCCACACAGGCCACGCAGTGAAAGGGTTCAGCACCCTGCTCAATCAAAGCTCAAGAGACC